ACGGATGCCAATGTCAGCTAATTTGTTTGTTACTAGCTTGTGTCTCCTCGATGCAGCGCAGAAACAAGTTAGGGCAAGAAACAAGTGTTTGTTTGTCTGTTTGATTTTTTACCTGTTATTTCAGGGAAATGAAATGTAGAAATTTGCGAGTAAATTTCCTGAGCATATACGAGGCCACGTATTGAGATTAATTTTTATGCGTTTTTGCTGTACATTACTATAGCGCTGCTACAGCCAACAAAAACGCGTATTATCTAGGGGCTGTCTGTGTGTGTTTGTGTTCAGAAGCGAGTGCATTTTGCCACCCACTTCCATCTCAGCAACCAGGAAAGCTGGGAGGATGAAACTTTGGATATATGTTCTTACCTCGGTGCATCCTCCCATTTCAAGATGTTCCCTCATACACGCCTAGACCCCGCGTACGGGCCCCTCAAAGAATATGGAAATTTCGTTGGTGGGAAACGAGTTCGCGAACCGGGCAAGTTAGGAAGCTAAAACTTTGCAGGGATATTCTCTATACACGTCCGAGCTAAAGATTTTAAACTCAGCCATCGAGCACGCTTGTGAAGCGCGTACGATCACGTCAAAGTTGCAGCTGGGCACTGTGCTAACTCGAAAACTTACCGGGAAACAGTGGCTGAAATCTTGTCAGCATATTTGCTGCCCACATAGAAGACAGTATATGTAAAATGAGCACCGAATTGCACTTGCGCCACGACTTAGAGCACTTCAGAAATATTTGTAGCGAAATGGATATTCCGCTTACCGGATAAGCTGCGAAGCTGAAAATTCGCTGAATTATTTTACTCTCAAGTATAGACTTAATTCTGCTTGGAGGTAGAATTCCCTACAGGTATGCGTGAGAAATACTCTACCTTACCGAAAAATCAGAAACGAGTGCGTTTTGCTGCGAACGACCGCCCTCACCCAAACATGCAAATGAACATTAGTTATTTGCATGCATGAATTTTTGACAAACGGTCACTCGAGCAACACTTCCACCTTTTAGTGAACTGGAAATTTGTAATTTTTCAAAAAATTTGCATTTGTCATTTTTTCACAAAGCGAGCATTTGTCGAAAAAACGACCGGACTTCACGCAAACCCAGGCTAGAACGCACCAGGTGGGCCGATGCGATTATGCGTTTTTGCTCTTTTCGTGCCGTAGCAAGATTGCAAGGATCGAAGTAGCTAACCCTGTGAAATACTGGCCCTCGGAGTTCGGGAAATTAATTGTGCAGCTGTGTGGTATTTCAGTTGTAGGTGTCGACTTCAGTGACCCAGCAAATGGAAAGTTGCTGGCCCGCAAAAAAAGGATACGCTTGAGCAGTTAAATTTAAAATTTTTTAGTCGCACACGAGCGGGGAACATACCCTTAAAATTAAAGCCTTCAGCTTTTCCCGTTCCCTAGTTAGCAGTTATCTCATTAAAATTTTCACGTGTCCGTATATGATTACCGAACAGTTTTAAGGTGCTGAATTTCAAATCTTTTGGTCCTGCATGAGTAGGGGACACTACCCTAAAGTTTCAGCTTTCTAGCTTTTTTCGCCCCCGAGTTAGTGATTTTCGCACCAAAATTTCCATGCGCTCGTACATGGGCTCGAGCACTTCTAAACACCTTATTTTGCTTGTACGAGAGTAGGGAACATTCTCGTATAACTTCAGCTTCCCAGCTTTTTTCGTCCCCGGGTTAGTGATTTTCGCACCAAAATTTCCACATGCCCGTACGTGAGTCCCGGATGCTTCTAAACACCTGGTTTCAGTTGTACATAACTAGGGAACCTTCCCCTTAAAATTCCAGCTTTCTAGCCTTTTCCGTTCCCGACTTGGTGATTTTAGCGCCAAAGTTTCCATGTGGCCCTACTTGAGCCGCGGGCAGTCCTGAGCAGCTGAATTTGAAATCTTTTTGTCATATATGGGTAGGAAACATTCCCTCAAAGTTTCAGCTTTCTAGCTTTTCTCGTTCCCGAGTTAACGATTTTCTTGCCACAACTTTCACT